AAAATATATACTGCATTCTCAAGTGTCAACAATTACAATTACATTTACAAGACTATAACTATGTCTGATAATAGTGAGAAAGTAGCAACAGATAGAGTGCATCGGTAAGCAGATTGATCTCTTCACTCGTTAACATTCTTAAGCATGATTACATGCGTATTTTACGGGAGATCTTTTTTAAACAATTAACGATAACGGAAAGTCAGCTGAGACACATGCTTGGCGGCGAATATGCTGAACGCGCGATCGGATCTCGTCACGATATTTTGCCGAAGTCAAGCGACTTCGATAAAACGGATAGCGCGAGGTGTCGCGGGAAAAGGAGGAGAAGGGAGAAGAGAAGAAGGGCGGATTTGCATTTCCCGTGACTTGCAAACTTGCACGAACGTGCTCGATCCTTATCCGCATCTCGTGTTCGAGAAATACGCTAAAAGCTGCCTCTCGGAGCGCGTTAGTTAGATATTATTCGGCGAGAGAGCGCGACAAAGTGGAAGTTTCGACATCCCGCAGGTTGGTCCGCGCGGGAATACAGAAAAGGTCTTAGGGTTGGATTAAAGGATTGCGTCGCTGCCGCGGCAGCCGTGGCGGATTGGCGGGCTCTTGAAGGGAGACGAATGAAGGTGCGGACCACTCGGGTTGTATGTCTTTGCCAGGTATAGCGGCGAGTCATTTGAAACACGGAATGCCACTTACTCCTGCAGTAGGTTCCATCTTGTAAAATGTATGTAGCAGCTGCGGTCGAAATGGCACTGCAACTTCGCGCGGGATGACTCCCCGGTGGAAAAACAGGTGGGGAAACCAAAGCCTTGGAATCGAACGTCCGTTTCCGTGGAGCCACTCTCGAGGAGTACATTGACTGACTGATCGGCCGTATATACGTTTCGTATGCGAAATCTTTTATCTTCGGGACAACGAGAGGATAGATGAACGTGAGTAAGGGTCATAGCGCGCGAGCCAAGAAACATAAACATAAAAGTGAGATTTAAGCTTTTGTATCCGTTATCGCTTTCTGCAGTGGTATATAGATGGAATATAGATGATAAGCGCAAACTGTGCAATAAGTGTGACGCATGACGCAACAACGCATTCGTGTACGTGCGGATTAGGTCAAACTGAATACAAAAGTTTCCTACCATTTTGCAAACAGTCACACAAAATTTTAAGTCATTGATCAAGGAAAAGCTTAATCGTACAAGAGAGAACATTATTTCGCTCTTCGTTTGCTGCCGATTGACGAATAGAGACTCGAGCATCGGCTCGTGCGCGATCACTCATCAACTTTTCTTTTTCTCTAACTGATAACTCGAAATTTTGCGCAATTGTTTGCGCAAGAGGATAGAAAACTTTTCTGTTCAGTTTGAATGAATCTACAAGCACACGAGGACAAGGATCATTACAGCTCGTCTCACCGCGTGTCGCAACTTTTTATTCGGAAGGACCCGAGTGTACACTTGGTTTCGATACTTGCTTCGAACACTTTTCTCGGTGCAGTTCGGAACGCAGCCAATATCCAACGAGAGAAGCTCACTTCAGCGAATCGTTGAAAAACAACTTTTCTTACTGAACATCGGCTGCTTTCTGAACTGAGCGTTGAGAAAAAAGTGTCCGAACCGTAGTGAAATCAAGTATACATTCTGTGCTGCTCCGAGGAATCAGACTTGAAATTCAGACAGAAAACGAATTGGCCGGTTACAGTTGAGAATTTCAATACGATAATCTTACGTTCTCGATCGTCATTCTGGGACGTGACCGATCGATTAACAGTCCGCTTAACATCCGCTTCGCGCATCCGTTGCCGTCTGCTTCACGCGAGACAAGAGACAATGAGCATCGGTGCGAGCGTGACGAATTTCGTCCGGAACAATCTCGTTATCTTCGGGGAGGAGGGAGATTCGTACCGCACTTGCGCAACATGCAAACTGAATTTTTAATGTAACTCTTCACTCGGTCAGTTTTTCCTCTTTTTTATTTACTCACTCATACTCGAATCGTTTTGTGTATGTGATTGCATCGCTGCGATACGTGGCGGTAGCAACTAGTAACGCCATTGCGTACAGTGGAGTGAATCCGATTATGATATTCGATATATGTAGCGTTCCTCGTATTTATTCACACTACGTTCACGTGGTTGCGAAAAACAAGCGTCGCTATTGCGGATTATAAAAAGAGAGTAACCACGCAGAGAGGCGATTCGAGGCGAGACTCGAGGAAAGGAACGAACGCCTGGCTTCGCGCCAGGAAAGGAGATCCAACGACGAAACCGCTCGGTTAATATTCTTCCTCCTCACTTCCTGCCTGCGTCGTGAATTTGACCTGTTAGTAATTGGAAAGTGACCCAATTGCGCATTATCCGTCATTAGGTGGCGAGCGCGGACCAGCCGAAATGTAACCTTTCAAAATATCACACTGCGTATCACACAACAACGACTATCTCGTGGTCTCTGACTCTCCACTTCCACTTGCAGACGCGGTGTCATTTAGCGAGTTCTGTACGCACATACGCGCCACGCGCGTCAGAAATCACGCACGTGAGATACATCGGAACGAACAGATGTCATTGTTACTGGAGATTTTGGGAAACATACGAAAACAAAAGGGTGAAAGGAACAAAAAGGCGTCTGCTCGTTTTATTCTGTTATCTTGTCATGTTTGTTTGCGCGACGCAACTTGTCAAATAAAAATAGGAGTCTCAAATAATTTCGACCTTTTATTTTGACAGATTATAATTGCCGCGAGGTAGGTAGCACGTTACAGATTTGTTTGTCATGTTTGGAAAATATCGCGGTTATTACTGACACGTAAAAAAATGTTTTGACATTTTACAGAAAAAAGACCCATCACAACTGTCTATTCCACGCTTTTTTGTTTTCCCTTTTCCTTTCTTTTTTTTTTTTTTTTTCATTCGCTCGGGCCAGCTTGGCGTATTTATCAATTGATCGAGCTACCGTTCGAGCTTTCTACCGTTAACGACCGCGCAAATTGCACGTAACTTTAAAGATCCGCTAGATCACGCGATGGCGTGAACAACGAGAGATAAGCCGCTTTTTTTCACGCGGATATGAACGAAAGAGCGACGGGCGTATTATACGTTAATATTACAGACGGGCTTTGCACATCTGAAAACGCGGTTCATATAACCTGTGTAAAGAAGAAATCTCACACATCAACAAATTCTGATTGCGCAGATATCGAAACTGTAAATAATAGTAATTAGACGCTAAGGCCGGTATTTTGAACTCCCTGTTATCGATGAAACTGCTTGAAAGTGGCTAATGGTCAATCAGAGAGCTTATGTAAGCTATTTTTATCCATAAAACGAAGCTCGGAATAACAATCTTTCGCACTTACCTAGTAATTAAAGTCAATTTAGCCTTACCGTTATAACTAACAGTTACTTAATCGATTTTCAGTCGCGTACGTTTCGCGAGTCCGACTAAAAATCGCGTAATCTTCTCGCTCTAATGGGCCTCCTACAATAAGCTATTAATCATAAGTTGTAACCAAATTGGTCAACCACAGTCGATTAGTTTTGAAATAATCAATTGTGATTGGTCAATTTGCTTATAGCTTATGACTAATTGTTTATTGTAGAAGGCCTCTTAGGGATGATACGGCATTAAGAGGCACGGTAGTGCCTCGCACCAAGTTCAAGCGCAACGAAGTTGCGCCCGAACGACGCGAGGCATACCGTGCCTATATTACGCGAATCTGCGAGTTGAAAGGGGTGACATATTAATATCTCATCAATGGCTAAACCGATCGAGATTTCTTCAGTGCTAATCGATTCAGCCTTAAAAAATAGAAAGAAAAGTGTCCTTGTGTTTTTTGTGTACGTTGTCTCTAAATGTAGATATTTTAAAATAAAGTCCAAATCACGGAAAATTTCGATTCAGTAAGAAAGTAAGAAACGCTAGACCGCAGAGGAGAGGGGATTTGTGCATCTCACTTTTCCGACACCAGAGGCATTACAAGCGCGCTGAAGAAGTAGCGAGTGCGAGTGAGCAAGCGATAGAGAACAAGAGAGAGAAGAATATTGCTACAATATAGAAGTAGAAATGTGCGAGAAAGAGAAAGAGAGCGAGAGCGAGAGAGACAGAGAGAGAGAGAGAGAGACAGAGAGAGAGAGAGAGAGAGAGAGAGAGAGAGAGAGAGAGAGACAAGCCAAGACTTTTTGCATTAAATATTTTTTATTGCATTGTTATAATCACTAATTTATTATAATAACGAATAAAATAACTATAAAACTCAGTGTTCTAGTAAATAATGAAGACATTGTTTTTGAAGTACCGGACTGCGTATCATTGGGAGTTTTTGATACATTTATCTTCAGATTGCAAATCGCTCTCATTTGCAGAGTTGATGTTGAGTAGAGTTTCTCAGTTGATGCTATTGTTTTGTTATATCATTCTTTTGTAGAACAGTTTTGTAGAGTTTTATTTATAGTATTCAATAGAAGAATTTATTGTTAGAGATATGTTTTACTTGTACAAGCTTATTACTTGTATAACGAAAATAATAAATTATATTGCCCAAAGATACATGCTCAGATGCACAGTATTAAAAGCGTAAACATTGCCGTTTATATCATTTCTTTTATAAAATAGTGTTGTAGAGTTTTATTATAGTTATAAATTTTACTAGTAAAATTTTATGTTACATATATAACTTGAAAAAAAATAATTTTAAATTTCTAAAAATAACAATACGTGTTACGTGTGTACTTGGCGCCTCTTTTTACCTTTCTATTTAAAAAGGTAAGTTTTATACAACGTTACGGGGGCTCTCTGAGACGCGTCCCGGCGGGACAAGGTCGCGCGACTTTGAAAACAACATGTTCATAAGTACGCAATTGCCACGACCGTTTCCATTATTGTTTACGTATATCGATATAATTACGATATAGTTGAAGAAGCTAATTTGTAGTCTCAAGTCTTCGTACTCTTGATGCGGGGCAAATTTGTCGCTGTAATACTAATGAGGAAACTCGTTTTTTGTTACAGATCTGCTGGAGTTCGCAGCCACGCGATAGCTTATCGGGACGCAATTTCGACGGACGCCGATGCCGCATCGGAGGATCCGATTCGGGCCGAGCAGAGTCGGCTTGAAGGTGAGGTTCACCGATCGTTTGTACATTTCTTCTTAATTTATTACGATTGAAAACAAGCCGAGCGATTGAAATAAAAGCCGTTGAATTACAATGGCAAAGGGTCAACGTTTGTATCTGCGCGCGCGCTTCCGCGAATTGAACTCAACCTAATCTAACTTTTGACCTAACGGTTTAACTAACGAAACTATATTTTTTGTTACAGATCCGCAGCAGAACGCGGCTGACTCTGTCTGCTGTGTATCGGTGAGTCAGAGAAAAAGAGACATTTTTATGGTTTAGGGGCCTTCTACAACTAAGAGGCCTTCTACAATAAACAATTAGTCATAAGCTATAAGCAAATTGACCAATCACAATTGATTATTTCAAAACTAATCGACTGTGGTTGACCAATTTGGTTACAACTTATGATTAATAGCTTATTGTAGGAAGCCCATTAGAGCGAGAAGATTACGCGATTTTTAGTCGGACTCGCAAAACGTACGCGACTGAAAATCGATTACGTAACTGTTAATTATAACGGTAAGGTTAAATAGACTTTAATTACTAGGTAAGTGCGAAAGATTGTTATTCCGAGCTTCGTTTTATGGATAAAAATAGCTTACATAAGCTCTCTGATTGACCATTAGCCACTTTCAAGCAGTTTCATCGATAACAGGGAGTTCAAAATGACGCGACGCTAACTGTACGTTAAGCGAAAGGAAAAGAAACAAAAGATGGGTGGAAAATAAGAAGACTCGATCTTACGGTTCGATATACACATAGTGCAACGCATTGCACGCAGCATGCACGCACGCACGAACGAATGAACGAACGAAGTGCGCCGCGCAAGTCTGCGCAAATATTGTCGTTACACGTCGTTACGTTAAAAGCATTGGAGAGCTCCCAATTAGAACTTAAGAATGCGCCGCAAGAAAGAATGGCTGTCGGTAAAGGTGCGGTCGACGCGCGCGCGCGCCACGTTGAGAGATATCATTCTTAGTCAAACTCGTCTTAAAACAACACGGAGATTATTTGCTCCGGCCGGGAATACTGCTTTATTGAGAGAGCGCGGGAACGAGCACCGCGAGTCGCCGAGCGAATCCGAAACGGCGCGGCGCGGCGCGCCGTGGCGAAGCTGAACGTTGCAAATCGCGACGTATTTCCGCGAGCACGTGTGTGCCGTCTTAATTACGGATAAGACCGGCGAACCGTCAGCTCGACAACTCGCAGCAAGTGCTTTTCGTCGCCTTAATTATAAAAAAGCTGCAGGACGAGCTTGTAATTGCATAGTGGAAGCTTAATGTGGCCTTCAAGGTACTTAAGACGGCTTTAAATCGCCCTTCCTCAAGCTCGGCTTAGAAAGAAGGACGAGTTTATTTACTTTGACGACCGGAAAATGAGGTTTTACGATATTTTATGAAGAGAACGCGGGAATAAGTAAAGCAAGCTTAAACCGTCAAGGCCCCGGCAGGGCAGGAGCGCACGAGCGCCGAGTATGAAATTGGAAATGCTTTAGGAGAAACTGCAGAAATAAGGTTGCCTCCACGAATCTTAGTCTTGAAAGTCTCTCTTAAGTCTTGGCTGCAAGCGTACGGCGCGCTAAAACGCTAAGGCGCTGCGCGCTTGACCTTTTTTCCTTTTTGGAAACGCTTGTCGCACCAACGATGATGAGAAACATTTATCGTTCGCTCGTGAGTCACGCTGTCGCCAAGTGAAAATGTATTCATCGACGAATGCATCGATGCGTATCTGGTTCGCCGCCATTCGACGGCGCTCACGCGGTACCTGTTTTGTTTGCGTACACTTTACACGATACATGAACGTGGGATATCCTTTCAAAAATGTCACCTCAGTACGTTGCGAGCGTCACAGTTCCAGTTGGAATCAGTTTAAGGAACCAGTTCACTGAACCTGAATTTCCCAGAGCGGTACGCCATGTATACACTCCGAGTTGCCAGAGAAGAGAAATGACATTTTCCAAAGTTTCATTTTTAACGAATCGTTTTATAAATCATCCTGGAATTAAGGTCAAGTTACAACGGTGTGTTGTAACGCAGATTAAGAGATAATGATCTCGTTATAGCGGGATGACAGGTTGAAAGTGCTAAGCCAAATATTGAATTATTGTGTAATGAGGCAACTTTGGATCGCCCAGATAAAACGAAATTGTGCCGTTATAAGTTTTCATGGAACATACGAAGATAACGGCGCATTCGGCAGATCACAACGACGTCGTCATTGTTTCATAAAATTATAGCGACATAAAAATTCGATCGTGCCATTTCGCGTGAGAAGCCCAAAGTTGCTTATCACAAGCCAATATATACTTAAGAAAGTCCCAGCGGAGTCGCACCGAAATATCTCAACTTTCCTCTCACCGCTAATTAGTCCTTCCCCTCGTAGAGTTCTTCGTTCAAACACTCACATGTCGATGATTGTGCCCGACGGGGAGATCGAGGTCGGGGCCGAAAAACCTGATAAACTGATAAACCGATAAAACTGATAGATCCTCGCGGAACGACGCGGACGGGAATAATTCCAATCTCCAAACCGCGTCTGGAATATTTCTCAGCTCTCGATATCGCACACACAAGCGCAGTAGTTAATAGCGTGCAACGCGCCGACATTCGATACACGGCAGACTACGCAATCTGTCTTCGGCCCCGTCTCGTGCCCCGAGGGCGTGCGATACATTCACCCTCCGTCGCAACCCTCGCGCGTGAAGACGGACACGAAGGCAGACGAGCGCAATTTGGCCCGGGCTGAATGCGCGCTGCTGCGACGTGCACTTTCCATTTCGCTTCCTCACACGAGAGCCTTGATTACCTCCCGTCGGGGTTAAACAGAGCTCGCAGCCGAGATTCTTTCGCGAGAATCGCGACGAGGAAGAGATGCAACAGAGAGCAGCGCGGCAACGGCAGCCGGCGGTCGTGTCGCCTCCGGCGCTGTGTAGTGTCAACTTTCAAGTTCATGCCACGGAGTAAAGTCAGCCCGGGTATCTCTCGACCTTCGTTTTGCATCCCCGCCAAAGTCATTTCCCTCCGCCACTGGCGACGCGGACCGTGGCGACGGAGTTCCGTTTTAAAGAGCGGAAGTAGGACGGAGTTTACAATCAATCCGGTTGGCTGTTTTGCGTACGGTAAACGACGTGTAATATGCTTCGGTAAACTTCTGGCATCGATAATTTCCCGCTCCGGGTAAGCGGCAAGTTTTACCTCCGCCCTCTCCCTTCCTCTCTCTCCCTCTCTCTCTCTCTCTCTCTCTGAATATTTTAATATCAGAACCAAATTCGCGACGTCAGTCAATCGTGCTCCGTACGGTTGACACGCAGCAACGTTGCGGTACGTGTAATAATCTATCTCGATCGGATTTTTTCTCTTTTAACATTGCATTGTATTTGCAATTACCGCCCTGTTTCTGCATAATTTGTAATTACTGTTTGAAAGTTGCTCTAGCGGAGACGTGGACTTTAATTCTTGAACAGGATTTTTGAACAGGACGCCCTGTTATCTCCTATTACCGGGGACGAATGAATTTTTTTTTTTAGTGTTATATGAACCACAAACATTTATGAACATTATAAATTCTAGCAGCGTTACACCACTGTGTAATGTGTTGCTATCATAGTGGCAATAGTTAAAAGTAGCGGGTAAATTTTCATCCGTTCTAATATTTAAGGCTCAAAAAATATCGCATCTCGTATCATTGCTTGTATCGGCGAGTGCAAAGTTGCGACACGAGCAATAATTTGGCGACCGTTTCTTTTTGAAATATACATGGTGCTTGCAAGTGCCATTTGTAGTCGTTTAAAAGTCATCCTGGTAAAAGTATGAATTTTTTAAGCAACACCGCTTCACGTCGTTGCATTCTTCGGCGTTCTCGCGGCAAATCTGTTTAGACACGAGCACTGAATAAAACTCCTGCCTCTGTAACGGCGCGTTACTCTTTCAATTTATGTTCACGAATATGTAACAAGTGCCTTACTCGCGGAGAGCTCTTCGTTATAGGTATTCAGTACCGTGTAATCGCACGAGACAGACGAGGGAACGTTATCTCGGCTTGTAACCTGCTACGTAACCTGACGATTCGAGCCCCGTTATTTTCGTCAACGTCCGACCGGCAAAACACGCGACTACTACTTGGCCGTTCCCGTTAGCAAGAATAACGCGATAGAATACAATCGCGCGACTGAGGAGTCGCGCGATTGTATTCTATCGCCCCCCCCTCTCCCCCCGCCGGAACCTCTCGGATGATGTACGGAACGGAAAGCGGGCGATTCTTTAACTGGTGGGAAGTAACATTTCTCAAGTCGCACCCTCGCTGAAACGAAAGCAGGGAGTGGCACGCTGGGCTCATACCCCTTCCTCTCTCGCCCACCCTCAGCCGAGAGGTCACTGCTCGAGATGATGAACGGCGTCGCCCATAAAAAACCAATTTCAGGATCAGCTGCGTCTAGGACAAGTGATTACCGGGTCCGGTTGCAATTCGTCGGAAAGATTTGAGAAAGAGTGTGCGGGAAAGTGCGGCGATCTATCGATGTTCCATTATTCCCGCGGGGTGTACGGACCTCGCATAGATCTCGAACCCCGTCCGTCCTGCGCTCGGTACCACTTCGTCTCGCGTCGTTCTCGCTGCTTTTCTTCCTTCCACTTTTTCCCTCCGCGATACGTGACCAGAGAGAAAGAAGACGTCCCTGGCCGGCCCGCCTCGTCCCCGCGGCTATGAGAAAGCGAGTGACTGCGTCTTTGAAAATCGCCCCTAGTACCTTATATACTCTCGAACTCTCCTCGGCGCTCGGCTGTTTTATTATCATAATAGAATATAATACCATGAGGCTGTGACGTATCGCGTCAAGTATGCGACTGTGATGAGCGTAAATGTGTATCTCCTTCGGTCTTTCTTGCCTGCGTCGTGCGAGCGATGAGAGTCTTCTCACCCCCGGCGACGAAAAGAGGAAAGTCGACTGTCATCCAGCCTCTCTCACGGTCGATAGAAAGTCATCACATACTGAAATTGATCGAATCACATGGGAGCCGCGTGGGTCGCGAGGCGGAAAATGATATCGTGCGTCCTAACAGAATCATTAGATCCCCGAGAAGCTTGAAACGTGAGAAAATTCTGTTCCTCACGAGCTATAAGAACGAAACATTGTTTATTACGGGCGAGACCGTCGGTCTCTCTTTAACCGCGGCTGAAATCTCTCTTTAA